ATTTTTTTACGTTTTCTCTCCCCATCTTCTCCATCTCCCTCGCCCCATCTTCTCCATCCCCCTTTTTGTGCAATGGGTTATTAGATTGGGTTCGGGACTGTCGGCGAACATTAGTTGTTGCGGGTTGCGTTGGCGGTACGTGGTTGCCGCGGGTTGCGTCGGCAGTCGTGGCTGCTGTGGGTTGCGAGGGAGAGAGAATGGAGGAAGCGGTGGGTGGCACACGGCGAGGGTTGGACAGTGAGCGTTGGTGGCCGAGGGTTGGCGGCGACTGTTCAACGTTGGTATGGAAGGGGGCCAGGGAGGGGAGGGGGAGAAGAGGGGGGAGAGGGGAGGGAAGGAGAGGAAGAGAGGGAGAGGAAGAGAAAGAAAGGAAGGAAAAAAAAAAGGAGGAATGCCGGCATCGGAATAGGTGGCGGCGGCGATGGCCGGCGATGATGGTGTGGTGGATTGGGGTGGGGGAGAAAGAAGAAGAAAAGAGAAAGTTTTTTATGTATTAGATATTTTGAAGTGTGTATGTTAAAAAATTTGATAAGTTTTTTTGAGTTCCTGTAGCAAAAGTTGTTAAAAAACTAGTAGATAAAAAATTTGGTAAAAAACTAAGCTTCCAAACAGGCCCTATAATTGCAAGGTAAAGTCAAGGTCATGACAGCGGGGAACATTCATTCAGACTCGACCAAAATATCTGTTTTCATCTTCTTTTAGCGTCCATTTAGTAACAACGTGGAGAAGAATTTGCATCGGGAATGGGAAGAACTCGGAATCAAAGCGATGCTTGTTTGTAGTCCGTAGCAAAAGATATCACATAATGGAATAAACGTTGACACAAGCCCGACCACCTGAGAAAAGCCCATTCTCTAAATTTGGCCCATTTCTGCAAATTCGTGACTGTGATTTTTCCAGCCCAAAAACAATCGCTGGTTATGTATCGAAACCAACCAAGGCCGTAGAAGAGCCTTCTTCAACTTTGCGGCATTTATGATCCAACTACGGTGACTTGTACCTTGATGAATGAACTGCATTGCGGTATTTATTTATTTATTTATCATTCATGTCAAACTTTTCTGTTTACTTTCTCATTTTATTTAAGAAATTACTTCCTTCGATAAGTACAAGTACTAGATTAATGAACATATATGAGTGATTTTCTAATTCGATTTGAGTTAGTAGTATTATCCAAAAGGACAACAAAATCGATTTGAAAGCTGTAAATAATTAATTTGCCCGTGTTTGTGTCTACCAATTAGTAGTACCACATAAAGGCCCAACAACAACTCAAAATAGCTGAACATAGCTCATATGATGGTGTTGGAGTTAGCGGCGGCATCCGGTATTGGATTAGATGGGAGTCAAATTATCAACTGTCTTAACTTCATGTCTTGCTATTACCCAAAAAAAAAAAAAAACTATGTTTTCGGAGTCGGAGACTCAATCGCGTTTAGGATTAAGGGTCAATAGATTCGATCGAATTTGATCTGGAGTTGAATCGAATAACATCATATATATATATGTCATATATATATATATATATATATACCCATTGTGACAGCCCCACATTCCCCTAAGGCGAACCAAAGGGGTTAGCGGACTGCCTGCCCAACTCTCGCCAGAACTAACGGTTCAGTTTAAAGCGATCTAATACGTTCCGAAATATACAAACGCGCGAAAACAAGTCAAAATTACAAAATAAAAAAAAATGAACATGGAGTCGGCCATGAATAGTAACCGACACGTCAAAATCCAACCAAGCATCAATCAAATATATGTACATCTTGAAATTAAGCATATACAATCCAAAGTGGCATACAAAAGTATTCAAAAGTTGATACATATACGGTTTGCCAAATCAAAAGAGAAACGGACCTAAAAGTACATTTAGGATTTCAATCAATGAACTATACAAAAGATATGTCCATCTAACTCAATTCGGCAACCAACTATCAAATCCAATCCAAAAAGATTTATTTTCCTGTAAGGAAAACAAAAGGAACAGAAAGGGGTGAGCTTGCGCTCAATGAGGTACCAGACATATAGCAGTAAAATCATGGCATTTCACATTTAACAAAGCAGGTACACCTACCAGATGTAAAGTAAAGGAACCAATGATTTAAATAGGAAGGATACAGGTGACTCTCAGGAGCCAAATTCCCATTTGCGTCACCGAAACTCGATCGAAATAATAGTTGACACTCCGTCAACGCTAAAGGAGTAACCAATACCGTAGACTCCACTTTCCCCGATTCCTTCCACCTCACATACCCCTACTGGGCCCGAAATCCAATCAGATCAGAAATGATAATACTCGAATATACCGGAATCAAGGGTCTCAATACCCAAAGATCCCAAAACAGACTACCGTGGTTCGTTATCTAAATGACCAGGCCCTTGCCGGCCCGACTCGAGTAACTGGCCACAGGTGTTGAGCTCAGAGGTCACAGAAAGGTCGTTGGATACCAGTTTCCAAACGACATCAGAACAGATACAGATAACAGATTCAGATTCCCACCAAAATTTGGCATATGAACAGACAAGAGAACGAGTGTGATAAAGTACACCCTCGTCTCAATCAAAATAACCAGATAGTTCAGTAATTCATATCACAGATTGCATGTACAGAAATCGAGTTAAACAACAAGTGAGGGGGAGTGGTACACTCACCGGTTCAAGTACGGATACTTCACAAATTTTCACTTCAGATTGGCTTTAATCGCCAAGAAACCCTAAAAGAATCAAAGTAAAACAATTGAAGGTTCTACTTCCAAAATCGAGTATACAGAATGCACATGTGAGACTCGACTACACGTCGTACGCCTTTCCATGGTAAGTACTAGTACAAAAGAATAAAATATGACTTTCAAAAGGCAACTCAAACCTAAAGAGACTAAGCGGACTAGAAAATTGGACAGCATTTCTCCTACATTTGTTTACTTTTTCAGCCGTCATGGCTTCATTATTTTCCTCAACCAGTCCCAAAGTCATACACAAAATAAGTTCATCCAATAGCCGTTCAGTAAGTTCCAAGTAGTACAAGTACAATTCAAGTTAGGAAAAAGTCCGGAAATGAAAATCAAGCCCTAAAATATTCAAATAAGCACAATAAGACTCGATTACAAGTCATAAACCAATGCCAAATACCACTAAAATAAGGTTCCACTAGAATGCATAAACACTAGGGTAAACCAGGAAAATCCGGAAATGGAATAAATTCTAACAAAAAAAAAACAGTTTTTGACATCATTTTGCAGTTTTGGCACCATTGACACTACACTTATCGGATGGAGGTGAAAGATACACCGTTTCAAAGCTAAGAGATAGGGCTACAATGTTCAAGAAGACTACTCTGCCCAGTTTCGAGTGTAACCAGGTAAAAAATGCAAGATACGAAACCAGAACCGCAAAAACAGGTTCACAAACCGCATTCTGGTTCAAACATCATAAGTCAGGCTACCTAAGTCCAAATCAAGTGATTCCAAAGCCATCCGAAAGCTAAGATACATGGCTACAATCCATCAGAAGATCTCAACAACCAATTCCGAAGTATTCCCAACCAAAATAACCAATTACAGACGCAATTATCAAATTCGGGTAGAACCAGAGCAGCAGGGGTATTTCAATCTTTTCTCAAGTTACGTTACTCCGATTGACCTGAAATTTTGCTGGCATCTCTAAAATATCATTCCCTACAACTTTCATGTTTTAACCCAAGGCCAATTCGGTCTCTAACTATGAGATACAGTGCCGGGCAGAATGTAGGACATGAAATCCTAGTTTTCCAATTTTCCTTCCAAAACAGATATTTCCTGCAATTAACCACTTTTTCACCTTCTAGCTTCCTTAAATATCATTTTCAATCATCATACATGACCATATAATAATAATCATATGAAAACAGAAAAATCACCAATAATTATAAAACTTCACCAATTCAACCAATATCAAGATATAATCCATAAAATTACATCTTAAACTACCACCAATCATGAATTAAACATCATTAGATAGAGGAGAGGGGTTCCTTCACAACTCACCTTAGCAACACAAGAGAGAGAGCAACTAGTCACCTTAGCTTTCCAAACAACTTCACCAATCACCTCACCAACACTAAGTGAAGAGGTTTTATGGAACAAAATCAAGTTTAAGTGGTTGTTTTGATGGATTTGAGCTAAATGGAAGCAAGAACTTGGAGAGTTTTCTTTCTTTCTTTCTTGGAGAGGGATTCGGCCAAGAAGCTTGCAAAATTGAAGTAATTTTGGTCAATTTTTAGTTTAAATGGTAAAGTCATGAATAGTGGTCCAAAAGGTCAAAAGGTAAGAATGACTCTTCAAGTGACACTTGTCACTTCATTTAATACATCTCTATCCTTTTGTCTCTCTAATAATAATCAATCTAAATAACTTCTAATTATCTCTTAATACCTACTAAAAGAAACCCGGTATCCAACACTTAACCTAATTGACCGAATTTTACCGAACTTTCCGCACTAACGAGTCCCACGTCTGGTATACGCTCTTAATTTCTCAAAACCTAACCGATACTAGAAAAATCACCTGGGAGACTTGTGGCAACTGCTCCTAGCTAGGAGCAGCAAGGGTCAGCCGCCCAAATCCGAGACATGAGTGAGTGCAACACTTGTTCCCATGATGACGCTGCTCTCAAACACTCACTGCAATATTGCACCGAGTTATCTACAGAAGTCATTTGGGAAAACATCCAAAGTAGCGACTTAACGTTTTCGAGGATTCAGAGGAAAGCCTCAAAACCTTAACTCAGATTCTACTATTTCGGATAAAAAACTCTCGGTCAACTCTCCTCATAAACTAAACAATAGCATACTGTCATATGTTATACTCAAACTATAGGGTATTGGAATCCATAGGGTTGACATTTAAATAACAATAAATCCTTCCAGTAACAAATTAAACGCACAAAATATATCCATCCATAGGGTTATTAGTTTATTATTGCAGTGAGACTGGTGCAAGAAAATGCGGCTAATTCCCAGCTTACTCCAGCTTCCTCCAGGATTCTACCAATTTGGCCAATGCCACAATGGATGAGCCCCCATCAGCCATTGCTTGCTTTGCTTCCTCCTCCTTTGCCTGGGCTGTTTCCCTGATCACCTTTCCTTCCTCCGAATCCATCAACCCCCTAACTCGCTTCTCGATTTCAGCCGCTTTCACGAACCCACCTTCCGTACTTTCATCCATTGGTAAGGCCAACTTCATCTCCTCAACTAAGAACAGCCTATTCAGCTTCTGCCCAGCATAAAGTGGCCACCCCACCATAGGCACACCCGCACGGACTGCTTCCAACACTGAGTTCCACCCACAGTGGGTCACAAACCCACCCACCGACCCATGATTCAACACATCCACCTGCGGTGCCCAAGAACTCACCACGAAACCCCTACCATTTGTCCGGTCCAAAAACCCATGGGGAAGCAACAAATCCAGATCTGGGGCGGGTGGAGTTTGAAAGCGGTTGGTTTTGTCCTCAGAAGGCGGACTGCGCACCACCCACAGGAACTTTTGCTCGCTCCTCTCCAACCCGATGACTATCTCTTTCAGTTGCTCAGCTGGAAATCGACCCACGCTCCCAAAGCACAAGAATACAACGCTTCGACTTGGTTGCATATCCAGCCATTTCAAACATTCATGCACACCTCCTCCCGTTCCACCTGCTGCACCTCCACCTTTCCCGTTGTCTGATGCAATCAGAGGCAGCTCCAATGGGGGTGTAATGGGGAGCCATTACACCGCTCCATGACACGGCTCCCCATTGCAGCCGTGTCATGGAGATTACACGCATCACATGTATGATGCGTGTAATCCATTGAATGTGGGCCCTTTGTGCCTTTTTATTTGATTTAACTTATGTAATATTATGTTATGGAGTTCAACTAATTACATTCCGAATTATTAATTAAGTATGGATTATTATGATATCTTCGCATTTGAAGTATCAAATATTTGTTTAATTTCCTACATAATTATTTTTAAAAAATAACAATATATTATTTTTGAAACATAGAAAAAGATATATTATTCAAACTTAAAAATTAATAATATCATTTTTAGAAAATAAAAAAATTCAAAATGTACAAAATTTAACGAAAGTTAGTACTTTATTTTTTAAAAATAACAAAATTAGTTTTAAAAATTACTTTATTTATTTATGGGATATGAGTTATGCATTATTAAAATAAATATTTGATTAATTGTGGACCCATGCTATTACACCTTGTGGAGTGTAATCCATTGTGAGTGAAAGTGTAATAAAAGAGGAGAAAGTGGAATGCTGACGTGGCATGTGGATTACACTTCACAAAGTGTAATAGCATTGTGGATGCTCTAAGCTGAAAACAGGCGGAGTGGGGCCATCCGGAACATACTTTCCATCAGCGATTGATTTCAAGATGCTAGGTTCGAGCGATTCGAACGTGTTGACTAGGATCCCGGACGATTTTGCCAATTGCGTCCCAACATCTAAGAAAAATGCATACTCAGGAGACGTTCTTTCTAGCAAAGGGACTGGCATGTCTCGTGGTGGTATTGGAAGTAAATCAGGAACATGTAAAAGTTCGTCCAGGTCTTTAAAGCTTTTGTTTGTTGATTGGTGGAGCGTGGGTAAGTAAAGGAGGAGAGCGAGACCATTAGCGCCAGAAGTGAAGAAGTATTAACGCGTCAATTTTCTTGTCGAGCTCGTCCATTTTGGTATCTACGTGCGTTCGAGCGTCCTGTAACTCCGTTTGCAGGGAATCTACTTGAATCTGAACCCTAGTCTCAAGTTTCCGGAGCTGTTCATCTAGATTCTTGAGTCTGGTACCGTCTGCCATTTGAATTTGCAGTTAAGTTGCACCGAGGATTGAAGGCTCTGATTACCACTTGTCAGGATTTAACCTGATAATTTCTCAGAAGAAGAAATTATAAGAGGGAAATAGGAAGGGAAGAACATGAATTGAGAGAAAATGAGGGAAGTAAGGGAAATCTTATTGAGAATATTTCTGTAATGAATCTTGTCTGCCAAGCCTTTCCTATACTTGGCTATTTATAGAAATTTCCTACACCTCCATGCAACGTGACTGAAGCTGACAACTAACCATGCAACTAACTATAACAAACTGCAACAGAATTCCCAACTAACTTCTTAAGTGCAACGACACCGTATGTGCCAGAAGTCTGAGCTGCCTTCAAAACGACTCCGCATTCCCCAAAGCTACGTCGCTTTACCTAGTGTTCCTGACATTAACTTTAAATTGCATACGGACTTACTGGGAATGAAGGCTGAAAAGGTTGTTGAAGGGTTTTAAAGGTTTGCCACTATAAGAGTTTGGGAGAAACAAGCGAGATTCAGTTCGCTCAAAAAAAAAAAAAAAAAAAAAAAAAGGAGGCTGGACACGGCGACCACTTTTAGAAAAGAGAAAATTTCCTTATTTATAAATTGGTCCAGAACCTTAAAATAAATAACAAGCCCGTCATGTCCATTGGACACGGTTATCACTTTAAAAAAAATATTCTTCATTTATAAATTGGTCCATTGACCTTAAAATAAATAAAAGCAAATTATTTGGATAGTCACTAAACTTTTTAAATAATAGTTGAGTTTTAGTCACTTAACTATTAATAGTATATTTTTACACACTAAACTATTAAAAATTTTGAATCATTCCATCTGATTCCACCATTAATTTTGACAAATCCAAATATTAATAGTATAGCTGATAAGTTATATGTGAATTTTTAGATTGGACAGAATTAACAGTTGAATCAAATGAAACAGCACAAAATTTACACACTTAATATTTCAGTGGGTAAAAATATATTATTAATTGTTAAGTGATCAAATCTTAACTATTTAAAAATCTAGTAGTTACCCTGGTAATTTGCTCAAGTAAATATCTTCCCAAGGAAATAGGTGGAAAGGTTTCACAAGAAAGTATAAGAGATGTCAACAACAGCAAAACATCAGGCAGCTTATGGAAGCAGTTGATTCCTTTAAATACTCACTAAACTAGGTACTAGAGAGACTTTCCTTCAGCATTCCATCATTCTCTGGCTTTAACTACATTAAGGTGGCGTTTGGTAAAAGAGTTTCGGAATGGGGAATTGGAATAAACCCCATGATTCATGTTTGGTTCACTACTATCGGAATTGAAATTTTGATATGATAGCTAAAAATTTAGCATTCCACCATTCCTTAGTAAGTTGGTGGGTTTTGTCCAAAACTCAAGTGTGATTCCAAAATCTTATAATTACATAATATTTAGTATAATTAATATTTATATATATTATATATTTATATTTATATTATAATATATACATATATATAATATTTTATAATTATAATATTTTATTATAATATTAGTATATTATATAAATATATATTATAATTATTTAGTTAAATATAATTATATTTATATAATATATATTATAAATTTATTAATATTAGATAATAATATATTTATAATATATATGTATATTTATAAATGTATATTATATGTGCATATAATTATAATATATACATGCATATAATATTAATAAGTTATATAATTATAATTATTATTATTATTACTATTTTAAATATAATAATATATAATAATAACTATATTTAATATGTAATATATATTATATTTATATAAAATATCAGCATAATTAATATTTGTATATATTATATAATTATAATTATATATTTATATTATAACATTTGTATATTTATATTTAAAATATATATAATATTTAATTTAATTAGTTACAAACTTATAATAATATTATTATTAATTATATGTATTATATAATATATATTAATTTATGTAATAAAATTGATATTATCAATTATACTAATAATTATACATGTTTACTAATAGAAATTATTAATCAGTTATACTAAATGTACTAATACTTTTATACTAATATATTTAATTAGTGAAAATTTCTTATATCCCATTTACAAAGAGTCAATGACTATTATTTACGATGTGGTTTATAATATATTTATTATATTCCATTCTGAAAGAGCCGACGAACCAAACATCAACTGTAGTAATGATACACATTCCAGGTACTTGAACCAAACAGATATACTCCCTCCCTTTTTTTATAACTGACGTTTAAGAAATTTGTTTTAGTGTACTTTTATCTGTCGTTTTATTATCCCCATACAATATTAATTATTTTTCACAATTTTACCCTTTTATCTCTCTTTTCCAATACAGGATTCTTAATTACTACTCCTAGTAATTATTGCTTCTTTCTTTGTAACAACTCTAGTAATTATCTGCCCCTCCGTATTCTTTCTTCTTTTCTCGCAGTATGTTGAACCCCCTATGTTCTTCTCCATCACCGCCTCCCTCCGCATCAACCACTTGCAATTCAACCATCTAAAAGAATACAAATAATGTATTTCTCTTGAGACTAGTTTATATAGTGAAGTCCTTATAGCCTCTCAAAATATTTGGTGGGAGTTAAATATGTTTAAAATTTCAGATTAAAAATTTAGGTGAAAATTTTTGGTGGGAAAGTTTTTCATTTTAGAAACATTTAGTTTCATTTTAGAAACATTTAGTTTGGTGGGAGTTAGTTTGCATTGCTTTTGGCCTAGTAAAACAACACCATTTAGTACTCTAGTGAGAGAAAATATGGGTGAATTGGACAATTAATGAGGGTACAAAAGGAAAGTAGTGTACAAATTTAAGCAATGAAAAACTTTTCTTAATTGGTGTGCAAAACCTTAAACGTCAGTTATAAAAAAGGGGAGGGAGTATTAGAATGAATGATCTCATTCCAAACCCAAGATATCCGATTTCGAATCCGAATTCGACTCCGATGTGTGAACCAAACGCCACCTAAAACCTTTGTATGTGTCTTTCCAAAAACTATAAAAGACCCTATTTGAGTCAAACAAACCACAAAAGTGAAGTTTGAAATTTGAAGAAAGAGCAGTAGATTTATGAGACAAAAGTGAAGTTTGAAGAAAAAGCAGTAGATCTAAAAAGTTAACAAAACAAAATTTAAACTCGTTGCATCACCAGATGCACACAGACCTACACATTTGCTGCCAAAGAATTAAACAATAATCGGTATAAGTCACGAAAGAATTGACAATGCATATATATCAGCCAATTAATGATACTATGTTAAGTACTGAATGACACCCTGCGACTTACCTAATTGGATTTCCTGGTGAATACAGTCGATTCTTGACAACATACTCGACATACAAGTTGTATATGTGCTTGAGGGATTCCCTTCAATCACCTGTCCTAGGATGAGTTACCAGGATGATCTGTAAAACCAATAAATACATGGGGAAGAAGAGGTTTTTCATGTTCACAAGAGAGAGTTTTTCAACTTGTCATGGAAAAAAGTTATGCTAACTGCCAGCAAGTGATAGTCAGACAACAGATAAATGTCTTGATACTCTTGCTACATAGCCATCTATATGAATGCAAGCATATATACTCATGCAATCATCTGGACAGACCTTAATCCCAGATGGACTCTCCATGAAACTAAGTTAGTAGGTATTAGTGCGGAAGCTGTGAAACGAACATCCCTGCCCAGGTAATTGTGGGACTCCAAGATTTCCTTTCTCAACGCTGCCAAAGAGATCAAACAATAATGTAAGAAAGTCACTCTTATTAGTATGTCTTCAAAGATATGATTAAGAAACATTTTTATACCAGGACAATAATGAGATGCAAAACTAGTCTTCAGGATTACTTTCAATTTGACCAAATAATGGCCAATCCTTTCTGGTAAAAATTCTCACATCACACCATCAAGCTGCTACTGTGGGTGGTCATTTAAGGTGCACGCATATTAACTCATGAACTTCTTTATATACATCAACAAATGTACATGTGTTTTAACACCAGCATACTCTTCAATCACTCTTCTTTATCAAAAGACTAACACCATTACAAAAGAATACCCAAACTTTAGTAATGCCTATCAAAGTACTTGTGATCATGAGGCAGATTATTATCTTTCTCCTTAGGCATGAACCTCATTTTAAACTGCCTTGACAATGGCTTGACAGTCTGGTTGGAGAAATGGATCATCTTTTTTGGAATTAAAAAGCTAGAAAAGAAAAATTGTAATGCTAATGCACGTCATGGAGGCCAAATTGATTATCAGACAACTTGGGGGGGGGGGGGGGGTGGGAATTGGATTAACCAATACGTAAGTTGAATCAAGCGTCAAGTGCAATAACAAAAGAAAAAGGTCGTCTAATTATTAGAAACGAAAAAATAATTCCAAAATTATTTGATCGAAAGAAGGAGAAAACAAACCTAGTTGGATCCATTTTGGCAGTCAAGGATTTAAGAGAGAAGAGGAGACCGAACATGAGCTTGTGATCCTGCTGGGGGCTGAGAGTCTTAAGTGGCCGATTCCATTCCCTGTACAGCAGACATACTCCATTCCTGTTGAACACGTATAGCATGTGGGCGTTATTCCCCGCTGCAGTCGGGACCGGCGGCGATGGACTGATCTCGGATCCTCCGAAAAATTGCATGCTTTGGGAGATACCTTTTTTTTTTTATTTTTATCCCTGGGCGATACTTGTGGAGTTGAGCAACAGGGGGATGGGAGGAACCAGGGTGAGCAGCGACAGCTAGGGGCCGGGGAAGGGTAGTGGACAATGGCTTGGCTTGCTGGCTGGTTAGAGAGGAGCGGAGGGGATCGGGCTATAAGGCTACTAGCAGTAAATTTTACTACTGCTAAACTTTTTTATGTTTTGCTTTTCAAGTTTGGGATTAAATTTGGGAATCATGGTTCCTGAAAACCTACCAATCATCATTCCTCCCTTTCGTTTTTTCCTTTTGGTGGAGAGAATGAAAACCTCCCAGTCTATGCGGGTACAGACTACAGAGTTTTGATGAATCTTTAAATTTCTTTCCAAAAATCTCATACCCACATGGCCATACCCTGTTGCCAAAACTTAATTTCCATGCCTTTTGCTTGACTAGTGTTTAATTGATTCAAATCTCAACCCCTCTATATTTTGTTTTCCTGGAGTCCTCAAACCAAAAAAACAACAACAATAATAATAATAATAATAACAACAACAACAACTGCTGCTGCTGCTACTACTACTAGTTTTATTCACAATCACACTAATGTTTGAGGCACACTTGTTGCGTGCACAACTAGCAAAAAAAATTATATACAATTTTTTAAATATTTGTTAAAGTCATTCTTATGAGGCAATTTTATATTTTTTATAATACCTACGGTGAAAAATTTACCAAAATAAACTATGCAAAATGTAAATAGATAGTTGTTTGGTAGTGGGTAATAATCAAAAAAAGAGAAAGAGGGAGCTAGTGGATAGTTAGTTATAAAAAGTACTAATTTAGAAATATCACAAAGTGACAGGTTTTAGTTTACACAAAAAAACCTCCTCTTTTTTGTATATGGTACATAGATAATTATTACTGTTTTTATAAACACTCTAACTTACCAATATGTTCAAATGCCATAGTTATAAAACTTGACATGCCTCAACAGTAAAACTGGTCAACTCGGTGAACGGATCATAGGATCGAGTTGGATTGTTAATCAAACCTATTGACCCGTCAATGATCCGACATTTCAATTGGTGAATCGAAAAAAAAAATCGTCAATTAAGTTGCCGTCTAACCACCAACATAAAAATTATATTGTATTTATAATTTAAAATATATTATAATATTACATAATATAACTATTATGCAACCCACAGCTCGATCACCTCTCCGGATTGAGCTCCTAACCGGATTTAATAACTATGGTCCTAAGTCAATCTATTTGAAAATACTATAGTAATTGAGCATATTTTTTCCTTCTATTTTTGGAAACTTACAAAAAGAAAAATGGAAGTATCATCGCTCAATTTATATTTGCAAGGTAAAGTTAAGGTCATGACGGCGGGGAACATTCATTCCGACTGGACCAAAATATCTGTTTTCATCTTCTTTTAGCGTCCATTTAGTAACAACGTGGAGAAGAATTTGCATCGGGAATGGGAAGAACTCGGAATCAAAGCTATGCTTGTTTGTGGTCCATAGCGAAAGATATCACATAATGGAATAAACGTTGACATGCCCGACCACGTGAGAAAAGCCCATTCTCTAAATTTGGCCCATTTTTGCAAAATGACTGTGTGATTTTTCCAGCCCAAAAACAAACTCTGGTTATGTATCGAAACCAACCAAGGCCGTAGAAGAACCTTCTTCAACTTTGCGGCATTCATGATCCAACAACTACGGTGACTTGTACCTTGATGAATGAACTGCGCTGCGTTATTTATTTATTTATTTATCATTCATGTCAAACTTTTCTGTTTACTTTCTCATTTTATTCAAGAAATTACTTCCTTCGATAAGTACAAGTACTAGATTAATGAACGTATATGAGTGATTTTCTAATTCGATTTGAGTTAGTAGTATTATCCAAAAGGACAACAAATCAATTTGAAAGCTGTAAATAATTAATTTGCCTGTGTTTGTGTCTACCAATTAGTAGTACCACATAAAGGCCCAACAAGGGTTTGGGTTGGGTATTTAAGTCCCTGGGTTGGCTTCAAGAGTTGCAGGCTTTTGGAGTTCAATCTAGAATTATATTTAAATTAATCAACAAAAGTCTATTACTGAAGTTGAAAGAAGACAACTAACTCTGGGATTGGGTTCTTGGATGGTAGTATCCCACTTAGCAGCAGGGTTCCCCCTTTAGGTTAGTTATCCCACATCGGTTCTGAGAGGGGTTTGGGTTGGGTATTTAAGTCTCTGAGTTAGCTTCAAGAGTTGCCGGCTTTTGGAGTTCAATTTGGGATTAGATTTAAATTAATCAACAAAAGTCTATTACTGGAGTTGAAAGAAGACATAAAGGCCCAACAACAACTCAAAATAGCTGAACACAGCTCATATGATGGTGTTGGAGTTAGCGGCATCAACTGTCTTAACTTCATGTCTTGCTATTACCCAAAAAAAAAAAAAACTATGTTTTCGGAGTCGGAGACTCAATCGAGTTTAGGATTAAGGGTCAATAGATTCGATCGAATTTGATTTGGAGTTGAATCGAATAACATCATATATATGTCATATATATATATACCCATTATTTTTCTTGTAAAAATAACCAAGATCCTAATATTCACTAATCAACAAGAATAATCAGCAATCACCTGACGCCAATGAGTAGCAAAAAGGATTAACCTAAATGTTTAAAAGCATTTGGCTTAATTATTGATCCCAGAAAACAAATTTTGCATTAGTTGATTGTCCTAATAAATCTTGACTTAACCCAAAAAAAGGTATAAAAGACAAGTAAATTGGTATGTTTTGTCATATAACCTATGAGATTAGAAATAAAAGGTATTCAAAAGGTGCGTCATCTTCATATGCGAGTCAGACGGTTTCGGATACCACCAAATCACCTAATCATAACTTTGTACTCAAATTAACAAGTTGCATGTCCTTTTTAATCAAGAAAATATATATCAGTCAAGTGATATATATATCAAGACGAAGAATTATCAGTCCTCAAGTCAACATACCGGGACATCAGTCAAGTGATATTATTATAAGATTAATTCATGGTTCAATTTTCAAACCTTTTTCTTTCTTCCTTCCCTCTTCAACTCTGCAAAACATAAAAATCTCCTGCTAGGGAAAAAAATACATAAATAAATATTGAATCTGACCTGAAGACCCGACCCGGTTTGGGATTATTGAGTTGGCAAAGAGAGAAAATTTTAAATTTATGATGATGCATGCCTGGGAGACTTTGTGGCAATCATAGTTATTAAATTTGGCCTGATCCGGCGGTCGAACCGATCAATCCGGTAAACCGATCAGTGAATCGGGCCGGATTTTCATTATAATATAATATACATATTAATATATATTAATATACATATTATAAAACAAAATTGAAATAAATATATTTATAAATATATATAAATATATTTTGAACAAAATATTAATATTAATATATAAATATATAATATTTATTTCAATTGATATAAATATATATAAATATATATATTTACATAAATATGTATATAAATATATTTATAAAATTATATAAATATATGTAAATAAATATATTTATATTTACATAAATATATATGCAAATATATTTATAAATATATATAAATATATTTTAAACAAAATATATTTTTTATATATAATATTTATATATTAATATATTTTTTGTATATTTGGAGTTATTTTTTATATATTGTTTAAATATGATGTTTTTGGAATTGTTTTTGTTTGTGTATTACTGTAGTATTGTAAATGAAAAAATTACTTTTTAAAAAAGTTTGTTTGGATTGTGTTTTATTTCCCCAATTTTATCTGCTTACATCATTATTACAATTTTCAATACACCTTTTTATCTTCCCAATTACCTTTTTATCTCACATACATCACATCACAAAAAGTGCTACAGTAAAAATATTCCAAATAAAACACAATCCAAACAAACCCAGCGGGCAATGATAAATCTTGTTCTATGAATCATCATCTTCTTTTTTTTTTTTTTTGCCCTTTTTTCGTACCGCACTAGGCTCCAAATCTTTAAACTGCAAGACAACTTCGATTATGTCATATTTGATGCATTTTCATTCTCATTTCCTTTTTTTTTTTTGGGTAGGTACTGAGTTTGTTTGGATAAGAGTTTATTTGGATGATTTATTTGAGATAATTACTGTAACATTTTTTGTGATGTGATGTATGTGAGATAAAAAGATGATTGAAATTTGTGAAGTAAATTATTTTACTTTAAATCTTGTTTGTTCAAACACATCCACTTTTTGTGATGTGATGTATGTAAGATAAAAAGTATGTTTTATAATCTCCAAGAAAATACAAAATCACAGCCAACAAGCAAAGTATAGGCTTTGTATGGACTGTTAGTATCCATTATCGGTATTAGAAAACAGTAAACTTTTTGAATAATTGACTTCGGTTGACCCAAATAATTTATTTGCCTAGCATCCAGTTTTCTTTTTGAGCTCTGTCTTGTTTTCTGACCGTTACACTTTCCCAATTCACAAACCAACAAAACCTGTCTCGTACTTGTCCTCTCTCTTTCTTCCCCTTTACTCCCCTTCTTTATCACCTTCAACCAGACGCTGCATCCCCATTAATTCATACCTCTGCTCTACGACAAGCCTCCATTTACTGAGAAATAACTAGCCAATTTTCACAGATAATTGCACCAATACAACGCGGATCGGAGAAAGCGCATGAATTTTTCCTCGGTCATAACGATTCTGGCCAAGAAAGCTCTAGGAATCAGACCTTGCTGCTAACCTTCTTCGTCGACACAGAAATCTCCACTGCGCTCAATTCATCTGCCCAGGTATGTTTCGCTGCCTTTGTTCCAATAAATCTATTTTTGGAACAGGTTTTTGTATGGTTCTTCAGTGGACTATTCAGATTTATGGTAAAAAGCTACCGAAATATCTGCTACCCATAGGTCTTGCTTCTGAAAAATTAGGGTTCAATAATGGGTTACCAAGATTATGTTTAATTGCTCATAATTAGTGTTAACAAAATTAACTATAGCTGAGGGAGGTAGTATGACTATAAATACACTTGAAATAAATTAGATATAGGATGTCTAATTTTATTCGATTCTAAAAACACCGTGATACAATGTTTTTGTTTAAATTCCATCATGTTTGCTTTGGTGTCTTTATTGACTGAATGCGCTTGGATCTGATTTTTTATCAGCTGTACTAGTTACCATTCTGCCGTCTCATTGCTAGAGGAGGTCATAATGCTTCTGTTTTTTTTTTGTAGCAACGCAATCCGGAACTTTAGTTCCCCCAATATTAGATTGGAACACATTTATATGCCTTTGAAACGCCGTCGACTCTGTAAGAGCAACGGTAAGACCACTACAGAAGTTCACCAAGTGTTTGATTGTCTATACTATTGCAAGGTTGTTGTTATTTCTTGCCTTCCATTCTATATAACATTTGTTTTTTATCCAACAATAGCCACATGGACTACTTAGGAATGTGCAATTTATCGAACATCTATAACTTTCATATTCTATTATGTCTTTCTATTATACAAATATCACAATTTTTTGAGTCTTCTATATTCATTTCTATGCAGTCCAGCCAGCACATTCCGAGACCGATTCAAACGATTTGGGTGCTTGCGCAAGAAACTACTTTGCAACGGTAATACTTGCCTCCTAGTCTGTAGTAATGAAGTTATGGGTAATGGAATTGACTTTTTCTTAAGCAACCTGGCTGTGTACACTCATTACTATATGATTTTGTTGCGGTAGATGACTGATGAATCTGAAGTAGCTGATTGGAAGAATCACCCAACACTTGAGTCATCATTTGTTGCCACACTTGTAGAATGGCATAGGAATGGTGCTTGGGACAAGTTCCAAAAGGGCAGGTCGAACTGGCATCATCTAACTCTACACATGAATGACAAGTGTGGAGCTAATTTGAAGTGGGAACAATACCGATCCAAATTTTACCGACTGGAATCTGAGTGGAAGTGTTTTATCAAGCTAAATGGGATGTCCGGATCTACGGCAGAGACAGGAGTTGGCTTTAATTCAGAGTTGCTGTGCTTTCAGGCCACAAGGGAGAAATGGAGCGCTCTTACGCGGGTAAACTTAATCAAATTAACTTCCGCTGATACCTATGATCTATTGACTGCATTGCTGAAATTTTTTGGCAAGTTTGCTTGAGGACTTTTATATGACAACTCTTGTATTTTGCATGATGCTTTATTAAATTTCAGTTAATTATGATTAATGGGCTGTGTATCTATTAAAGATGTGGACAGATGTCAAATTGTTTCTGAATTATTTGCCATCTTCTTATAAGGAACAATATGTAGACGGACCTGCCATCAAATTCTTGGTTGCTTCCCTTTTATTATTAGTTTCTATACAAAGCCTTTAGGTATGACAGTCTTATTGCGTTATGAATTTAATAGACAGTACAGTGGTGTAGGAAATGCTATTGCTATGCCTTAACAAAATTGCCAATGACGCACAAAACGAGGCAATTATATTAAGCAGATTAGTACTGAGTTTCTTGCCAATGACCAAACGAGTGGTATGTTTCGCAAAGCCACATTCATATATTTGCTACTATCTTTTCTGGTTGTTTGCTGCCCTCTTATATCTTTTATTTCTGCCATCTTTGTTTATGTAATGGTAGCTGCTCAATATATCAAAACTGCTGTAGGTTATCAATATCCAAGTTACTTCAATTCATTATATACATGTCTTCTACCTGAAAATTGCACTTTCTACTTGGTTCAACACATGTCCTTTCACTTGCCTTACAGGAAAATAAATTCTTTGCAAGGTTCAAAGAAGGACGAAGCTGTGGCTGTTTCTTTGAACTGACTGAAATCCTTCAGGGCAGATCTGCCACAGGCAAGCATGCCCAATCGTCTACCCAGAGTGAAGTCCATCACTCTCCGTGGTCTGCTGAAAAGACAACTGGTGCTGCATCAAGAGTCAAGGGAAAGGCAAAGGTAGACGAACCTACGTCAGTGTTTTGGGGTGACGATGTTTACATCCCTGTTGTGGATGAAGATGTCGAATTTGTTGGTAGTAGGCCTGGTAAACGACCAGCCTCCAGTCGAGGGACTTCGTCCTATGATGGGTCTAGGAGTACTAAGTCTCAAAAGACTGGTGAGGCTCTGCGAGATGCAGCTTGCAATATTAGCAAATTGTCACAGATTAGGATTGATGAAAACACGCAACGTAATGAGTGGTGTGTGGCTGCTTTGAAGGTTTGGGACAAGAGCTACCCGAAACATGAGCCTGTACATCTGTGGAACCAGAAACGGCTTGCATGCATGAAGGAGTTCGCAAGCAATGAGAGGTGGTGCCACATGTTCCTCCAATCGGATGAAAGTTTCCAATATTACTACGCCGATACCATTCTTGACCCCAAACCCCCTCATGCATAGGTAGAATGAATAAGTTCGTGACTTAGGGACAGCATGGGATGCTATGTTGGGCTGTTTTCGGTCACGGGAGATGCGGCGACCAATTTTGGCTTTTTATTCTTCCCACAAAGCATTCTCATGGATCCACTTTATTGTAGCTTTCATGTTTTATTGGATGAGTACTCGTAGTACGTTTGTAATAATTATGGGGTGAATTCATTACACGCAACTGTTATGAATTTTTCTTAATTATGCATGTGGCATACGTGGTCACCAAATGATGTTGTACTAACTTTATTGCTTGAGGACTTCTTGATACTAATTTTGGTTGCGTCGAACTTGTTCTTTATCGCCAACAGGGAGCAATTTTACAAATTGGCAAGCTATTGGATGAATATTTTTTGATATGCTTATGTGTATATATCCATATATGAAAATTTGCTTCATATATAGTCAAATATATATGGGTATGAATGTCCAGGTATTTGCTATCAAAACTGCCAAGTACATATGTATATATTTGTTTTTGTTGTTAGCAAATGAACACGATTGGAAAAGTTGGAAAAGTTGGTAGACCATTTTTTTCATGTCAAATTTGCCATATTTGGTTCTAACCAGCATCCTATTGCATATATATTGATTTCAAATTGCAATGGTCAATTAATGACTTCGGGAATACTTCAGTAGGAGCTGGACAATGTCTTACGGCTAGTCAGCTTTGTATTGTATGTATAAGTGGTTCCTTATGCATTTTTTTCATGTCAAATTTGCCATATTTGGTTCTAACCAGCATCCTGTTGCATATATATTGATTTCAAATTGCAATGGTCAATTAATGACTTCGGGAATACTTCAGTAGGAGCTGGACTATGTCTGATGGCTGGTCAGCTTTGTATTGTATGTATAAGTGGTTCCTTATGCATTTGTCTGGCCTATAACATTAAAGCTGCAATCAGTTTCACGTGCCTGCAAAATTGGCAAAAGATGCGCCCAATATAGTAAAAAGAAGGAAATGCACATGGGTAGATTGATTCTGTACATAGCTTTTTTGCAGCCTTATGTCAAATTTGTACAGCCTTCTTTTTTGGCTTTGTGCGATGGTTAATTTGTCGTTGGTTAAGTTACCGACACTATTATTTCATATATAGATTAGAATTAAATATTTGGTTACCAAAAGTGTCGTGAGGAATTGCTTATAAAGTGTCGGTAGGAATTACTCACTCATATATTCCTACCAAAACTTGCCTCAGGCATTTTTATACTCAATCAAACATCTCGTTAGCGATCCGTAGGGCAACGACGTTACAAAGTCTCTCAAATATATATGTAAGTATTTTTATACCTTTCAACTACAATTTTATCTAAGCTTCCTATCCTTATATCGTTTTTTGCTTTCATGTTTAAAGCCAAGTAATTTATTTTCCAAAATTTGTACATCTCAATTTTGGGTTGGCTATGTCTGCTTCAATATTAGTAAGATAAAAGAAACTCCTCAAGTAAGTTGGACAGAAAATAGAGGATGGTGAGTTTTTCATAGAAATTTAATACAAAACGAATATTTTAACAAATAGCAACAAAAATTGTAGCTGGAACATACACTGTCATTCTTTTATTATTTCGCAAAAAAGGGAAAAATATTTTCCATCAGTTGTGTTATAGAAAATATACAAGTGTTCTAGGTGCATTATTTCATAATGTTATGTAAGTATTAATTAATAGAAGGTGCGTTATTTAATACTATATGTTATTAAACTACTTTAAAGAAGTTGGTAGTCAATTTACAAAATCTGGCCGATTGTATCCGTTGGCCGATTGTATGGAATCTATTTTTTTCATTGATATGTGTTCATTAGGGTGCGCAATGAATTATGTAGCCAATTGAAAAGTTAGATAATTGCTTAGTATTTTATCACTACAGTTAATTGTGTTTATACCACCAAAATGTCCAAAAATATTGTACGTTCAATCAATACTTCCCAAAGCCTTTGTAAAGACAACCCTAGCAATTTTTTTTGGCTGCTTTCCCTTCTGGCGAGCACAATTTTGCATTGCCTTTTGGTTCGTCTTTATTCTAAGGTTATTTTTTGTAGACACAATGCATCATATAATATTGGGATAAGAATAAAAAATAAGTGGCATTATTTGAGTTTATTAAACAAAATGTTATAGGATGTGAAGAATCCACTAATGACATATAATGTATTAAGTTCAGAATTTATTTGTACAATATATTTTTTGTTATAAGTTGACCCTTTTAATTTGTATACTTGATTGATCCAAATTGCTCTAAGTTTAGTGTGCGAGATTGTGACACACACTCCAATGGATAATATTTGGAATCCTCGGCCCTCATCATCGAATATATATTACGATGATGATGACGAGGATTGGCAACTAATCCAGTGGGCAACGGTTATACTCTTCAATCCCGTGGCGGAAAGAGCAGCTGGATACATCATACCTTTACCATGTAGAAATAGCGCCCTATCGGGCCGAGCTTATGTACAAGAAATTATCCATGGCCATCCAGCAAGAGTGCTTGAGAACTGCAGAATCACCGTGGATTCTTTCATGCGCTTATGTGAAATTTTAGTGAGCGGGGGATATGTACCGCAGAACCCGCACAAAAGGGTCCGTATAGAAGAGGCAGTGTGTATGACCTTAGTTATGCTAAGCCACAATCATCGTATGCGTTGCCTGGCTGAGCGATTCCAGCACTCCCCGGAGACCATATGCAGGAATATTCATGAGGTGCTGCGGGGGATCTGTGAGTTAGGGCAATCTCTCATTTGTCCTAGAAATCAGAACGAGGTCCATCCAAAAATTTACACGGATCGGCGATTCGCTAATTGGTTCATGGTACTTTAATTCTACTAATATAATGCAAGAAATTTCTTTCAGTTAGCTTTATTTCACATATTTAAAATATTTTTTACATACAAAGTAACCCATATTTTAAATGTGTAGAACGCTGTAGGTGCAATGGATGGGACGCATGTTCCAGCACATCCTCCACCTGGAGAGCAAGTGGCATATATGAATAGGCATGGGCAAGCAACTCAAAATGTTTTAGCAATTTGTGATTTTGATATGCGCTTTTCATATATTTATGCTGGTTGGGAAGGGAGCGCACACGATGCACGTGTCTTGGATGGAGCACTAACAGGGCCAACACATTTTCCTATGCCTCCAACAGGTGCACTCTAGATGTTATCAATTAAATATGGCAATAATTACTATAATTATAAAAGTAGTCTACTGGGATGCCATATTTTTTACCATCAATTTTTTTTATCGTTATTAGGAAAATACTATCTCGTTGACTCTGCATATAGAAACATTCCCGGATTTCTTGCTCCGTATCGTGGAACACCTCGACAACCTGCACAGGGACGACGGGGATTTTCCTCACCACGACAACTTTTCAATAATCGGCATTCATCCCTTCGAAACGTTATTGAAAGATGCTTTGGGGTGCTAAAGAGGAGGTTCAGCATCCTTCGCGGGCCTGTACCCAATTTTTATATGACCACACAAATAAATGTAGTCATAGCCTGTTGCACTCTACACAATTTTATCCGCAATGAATTGCCTGAGGATGACATCTTCAATGACCATGAACAAGAGATGGAGGTCGAGGGAGAAGGTGGGGTGCCACCAATGCCAGAAATTCAACCCCTATCAGCCTCTCAACAAGACATCAACGAATGGCATGAAATGAGGGATGGACTGGCAAATGGAATGTGGAATGCCTATCGGAGACGAAGTGGCTAGAAATCAATAAGTGATAATGATGTTATAATTTCAGTAGTAAAGTATCGGTAATTATGAACCTCTTATGTGTACGCTTATCTAAGTAAACTAATTCAATCCTGCATGCTTATTATATGGGTTTGCTTTAATTGGTGTAGGCTTGGTGAGCCTTAATCCAATATTTCTTTTTTTCATGTTGACAATGTAGTCCAAACGTTTCCATGAATTCCCCTAATAATAAACATCAACTTTTTTTTTAGTCTCATAATTGAATCATTATTGTCAATTATATGAACTTAGCATAGCCGTTGCCCATTTGCTGATCCAAATAATCTTATATGGTGAGGATGTCCAATTTATTTCGGTCAACTAAAATAAATCAATACTTCCAAGTATAGAATATACAATCCAAACAGGAATCCTACTTAATATTCTCCCAAAATTAACTATCCAAACGAGATTGAGTTATTCTATTTTCGGTCAATACCTTTGACCGAAAACAAATAATTATTCATTGGAATACTAATAATCCATACAAAGCCATAGAGTTCTATGACATAAACTTCTCGATAAAATCACAAACTTCTCGATGAAGACACCTTTCAAGGATAAACATCCTCCAAAGTATAGAGTCCTATGACACAATCATCAACAAACATCATCTTGCTTCTATATCCACAAATCATTTCCAATTTTATAGAAAAGGAGAAAAAGTTAGTGTCACGCAACAAGCAAGACTTGAGCGGGATTAACTACTACTAACTACCAGTATTAATTGAGATTTACCGTACCCTTATTTATCCATATAGAGTAGCATTTCTTTTTCTTCCTTTTGGGAAGTTATATTTTGGATAATTTTTGAACACAATAGATCTACACTTACTCTATATTAGGGGAGGGGACTTGATAAGGCCTAAAGAGAATTCGAAGGAAACTAATTATTGTAGATATCCCTGAAAAATTGCAAGCTAATTAAGGGAAGACATATAAATGTGTAGGAATTAATCACCAGTAGAAGAATAATGCAAAGTCTTTCTTGCTCACCTCGTGTAACCCCACTAGGCGCACCAGTAGTTACAGCAACTAATTGCACAACAACGCAATGTATTGCAAGTTTGCAACCACCACAAGCCTGGCTCCTTTTTTGTTTTTTGATCGCTTGTCTCCCTGCAGTGCTGACTGGGCACGGTAGGGGCAGGCAAATTAAAAAAAAAATTAGAATCTAACTTTTTCCGAAAACCAATAATTGCGCCGGAACAATTTAAAAAATTTATTTTGCTACCGTGCTGAATTAGTACGGCAGAAATAGTTTGAGAAACACCTTGTCAGAGCTACATTTGATGATTTTTTTTTTAATGTACATTTTAAGAAATTAGCCCTTTTCTTTCTTCCTTCTCTCTTCAACTCTGCAAAACATAAAAATCTCCTGCTAGGGAAAAAAAACATTAATAAATAGTGAATCTGACCTGAAGACCCGACCCGGTTTGGGATTATTGAGTTGGCAACGAGAGAAAATTTTAAATTTATGATGATGCATGCCTGGGAGACTTTGTGGCAACTGCTCCTAGCTAGGAGCAGCAAGGGTCAGCCGCAAGGGCGGGTCTAGGACCAATCCAAAGCCGAGACATGAGTGAGTGCCTCCCATGATGACGCTGCTCTCAAACACTCACTGCAACATTGCACCGAGTTATCTACAGAACTCATTTGGGAAAACATCCAAAGAATTTTTAATTGGGTTGCGACTTAACGTTTTCGAGGATTCAGAGGAAAGCCTCAAAACCTTAACTCAGATTCTACTATTTCGGATTAAAAACTCTCTGTAACTCTCCTCATAAACTAAACAATAGCATACTGTCATATGTTATACTCAAACTATATATTTGTTGACATTTAAATAACAATAAATCCTTCCAGTAACAAATTAAACACACAAAATATATCCACCCATAGGGTTTATTAGTTTATTATTGCAGTGAGACTGGTGCAAGAAAATGCGGCTAATTCCCAGCTTACTCCAGCTTCCTCCAGGATTCTACCAATTTGGCCAATGCCACAATGGATGAGCCCCCATCAGCTATTGCTTGCTTTGCTTCCTCCTTCTTTGCCTGGGCTGTTTCCCTGATCACCTTTCCTTCCTCCGAATCCATCAACCCCCTAACTCGCTTCTCGATTTCAGCCGCTTTCACGAACCCACCTTCCGTACTTTCATCCATTGGTAAGGCCAACTTCATCTCCTCAACTAAGAACAGCCTATTCAGCTTCTGCTCAGCATAAAGTGGCCACCCCACCATAGGCACACCCGCACAGACTGCTTCCAACACTGAGTTCCACCCACAGTGGGTCACAAACCCACCCACCGACCCATGATTCAACACATCCACCTGCGGCGCCCAAGAACTCACCACGAAACCCCTACCCTTTGTCCGGTCCAAAAACCCGTGGGGAAGCAACAAATCCAGATCTGGGGCGGGTGGAGTTTGAAAGCGGCTGGTTTTGTCCTCAGAAGGCGGACTGCGCACCACCCACAGGAACTTTTGCTCGCTCCTCTCCAACCCGATGGCTATCTCTTTCAGTTGCTCAGCTGGAAATTGACCCAAGCTCCCAAAGCACAAGAATACAACGCTTCGACTTGGTTGCATATCCAGCCATTTCAAACATTCATGCACACCTGCTGCACCTCCACCTTTCCCGTTGTCTGATGCAATCAGAGGTCCTAAGCTGAAAACAGGCGGAGTGGGGCCATCCGGAACATACTTTCCATGAGAGATTGATTTCAAGATGTTATGTTCGAGCGATTCGAACGTGTTGACTAGGATCCCGGACGATTTTGCCAATTGCGTCGCAACATCTAAGAAAAATGCATACTCAGGAGACGTTCTTTCCAGCAAAGGAACTGGCATGTCTCGTGGTGGTATCGGCAGTAAATCAGGAACATGTAAAAGTTCGTCCAGGTCTTTAAAGCTTTTGTTTGTTGATTGGTGGAGCGTGGGTAAGTAAAGGAGGAGAGCGAGACAATTAGCGCCGGAAGTGAAGAAGTAATAAGTCGGGATTCCAAGGTTGGTAGCAACAGAGAGGGCACAGGTGCAAAAGAAGTCGATGATGAATGCAGAGATTCCAGCTGTCAAGGAGATGGAGTGCAGAGCTTGGTGAACATGAGGGTTGCTGAGTCGAAGTAGCTCGAAGTGGAGAGCTTCCAAGGAGGGGTAAGAGTCAGGGTCAAGAGGCGGGGAGGGCAGGTGGTGGAAAGTGATGGAAGGGGTGGTGGCAGAAATGCGATTCATGTAAGCAGCAGTGGAGGCTGCGGTGTTGTATGGCGGGTTCACAACGAGAATAGTAACAGCCAATCCAGGGTGGTGGTTGAGAGTGAACTTACCCAACTCTACCATGGAAACCAGGTGACCCATGGCTGGAGATGGATACAGAACTATTGTAGGATTGCTCCCCATCTCTCTCTCTCTCTCTCTCTATGTGTTCGTACACCCAATTTCCACAAAAACTACGCAACTCTTTGAGCCAATTGAGAGCTTCAAATTTCCAAGATCCAAATAAATAGAGAGTAACTCCCTTCTACTTTCCATAGCCAAAAAATGCAATCAACTGACTGTTCTTTGTCAAGTCCCCGTATGCAACATCAACTTGTCTTTGAGCGAAAGTCGAGTCACCGTCAAAAAGGTCGTACATCGCCCGAAAGGGTCTTTGAGAAAAAAGTCCAGTCAATATACTGTCGATCTTGAAAGAATAATAATTGTGTAAATTTTATTTTATATATATATATATCATAAATTTAACGATAATAATACTAATAGGTTACATAAGCAAATAAGTCATTATTATTATTTTCTGGTGAAACCTTAAATATACAGGACTCTTTTGTTTTTTGCCCTTTTCCCTTGGCCCCTCTTGCCGTGCGAATGCTACTGGTTTATAAAAGGTTACAGAAGCACATACGTCATTGTTATTTTCTCTTGAAACCCTAAACTGCCTTCAGTAGTCCACAAGATACAATAATCTAAAAAAAATCCGCCTGCAAAGAAAATTGCCTGGATCCTCCTCAGAACTCCTCAAATCTCGTCTCAATGGAATCTCAGAGAGGTTTATATTTGATTTAACTAAAAGTATGTCCAGCAAACACTTTTCTTAAATAGTCTGTTGATGAAGGGTAAATTATATTTTGATTAAAGAAAAACAAAAGGTAGGTTGGAAAAATATGATCCTGTAGAGGTGCTTTTCTTGTTATATGCCCGTTGGATCCACTGGACGCGACTGGCATTTTTTTTGTAATTTAAAATACAGAATATGCTGGCCGGTTATCTATTTTGTAGCAGGGACCAATTTATAAATAAGGTTCTTTTTTTTTTTTTGGCCTTTTGAGCGAACTAATATGATCAGAATACATGATAGTGCTGGAAACACCTTTTTATTTCATCCCCAAGCTAAGTAAAATCTTTTCCGGTGCTGCTGTCGAGTTCTTTTGAAAATCACATAACAAGTCATGTAGATTTTAAGTTATTGTATATTAGTAAATACAAATTCGATTTACATTTAGATAAAGGAAAATAGTTGTGACACAATTCTAATACTATACTTTCTTACGAGCAGGAAAGTTTTTAATGATTTTTAATTTTTTTCCTATCTAGAGAAAACAAAAGTCCAAACTTGAAATATAATTAGAACAGAGAAATACAAAAATTATAGATTATATAGAGTAATTAGGATTCAACGCGTTGCATACAAAATGGTAATTATCTTATAATAGGAAATTTTTAAAAAATCATGAGAAAGGGGCAAGGGACTTAAATTCAAAACCTCTAATTCTTGATACTTCAATCTTAGTCACTAGACCGAGGATTTGATAACAGAGATGTAACAAATTCAACACTAAGAAAATGACCCACACACAACGATATAGAGTAAAATATACAGTAAACTTCTATAAATTAATATCTTCTATTAAATAATAATTTTTTTCATCTCGACTTGGAATAACAAGTTAAATTAATAATTTTGATGAAATAATAAGA